CCTCTAAAGACAGTCTTGCAGGCCAGGAAAATCAGCACAAGCAGCACTGAAGACAGTCACCGGTCTCTTTCATTTATGGCAGTGGTGGCAGTGCAGAAATAAGTCTGCTTGTCCTCAACTCTTCAAGCCTCTCTTACAACAACCTTTAACAACTTATTTTTTTAAGGAAGCATCCATGTACTTTCACTTTTTAACAAGGAAAAGAGAAATTCATGCAAACATGGTAATTCAACCTATTTGAGAATCTGTTTATTTCGTGCCTATTTTGTCTTCAAAAAGGAGTATCAACTCATACTTGTGTAGGGCTGTGTACTCCAGTCTGCCTCTGCCCATGTAAAAATCCTGGTTTCAAAACTATGGAAATAAAATTTCTTGCCATTTCAACTCAAGTACACTACTCTGATGTCACCTGAGAATGAGGGGAAACCCATCAAGAAAGTGGGGTCTCCATCAAGGAGAAAGTCACCAGAGGTTCATAAATAATGGTGTAGCAGAGGCTATAGTATGGGACATCCAACTACTGCCCAGATTCTAGTGGAAGCATGACTGAGAAAACTGAAGAAAAAACCCCACCATACACAGTATATTTTTATCTGTCCCCTCCTACCTCAGCTGACCCCCATTCACCCAGAAGTGGGGGGTAGCAGTAATGCTTTGTGAGATGTCAGCTTTCCATGGGCTCTACAGCTTATCTGAGCTCTGTTTGATGTAGGGCTGCAGAGATGTCACAGACAGGCTGCCATGGAAACATTTGTTTTCATTTACTGGTGTCCTGCACGATAAGAGAGTCTGAGCAGTACAGGAATGACGAAAGAGTATAAATTACCAATGGGCTCATACAGCTGAGCCTTTCAAAATGAAATGTAATTATTTTACCATTTATTTAGACAGATTATGTTATAGCTTTCTGATCTCACTTTATGATTAATTACATAATACATACATAATATGTCTAGTGCAGAAACAAAGGCAAATTCCAACTTGCTTTAGGAAGATGCTTTAAATTAGACTACTTGTAAGGAAGAGGATGACAGCTGGCTCTACTTGCATCTTTTAATTAAAATGCAGTAGTCTAGATAACAGAAAATTGAGATGGGGCAGAGAGGGACAAACTCCAGCTTCTTCATGACATGGGAGAAACATGCCACCCTCAGGCTGGTTTTCTTTGAGAGAGTACCGGGCACAATGTCTGTGTACTGCAAATACTTCTTCCCCAAAAGCCAACAGCTGTCCCTGGGTAGGGGAAGCATCATTAGGTGTCTATCCCACCTCTAAAAGGAAAACTCCCACTGAAATAAGGCTACCACTTCCATCTGCAGGCTTTTGGACAAGAGTGGCACTGGGGTTACAGATGGTAGCACTGCTGGTTTATGGTCCTGGAGGAGGATGAATGAACAGGTTGGGTTACCTACTTAACCTGGTTTGGGCTTGTAATGTCTTACTGCATGAAAGACTTTCTGGGTCAGGACAGATAGAGCACACAGCCAGTAACATTGCAGGGCCTCAAGGGATAGCTTTTACCTGGCATTTGCTTAAGATCCTTTCACCAAACAGATACCACATTAGATGAACCCCTGTTAACCTCAGCTTTGAAGTTAGCTCCACTACATTTTCCCTGTAGATACATCTCATACAATATGAAAACCTTTCAGCATCACAAATGCAAAGTAGTGAATGTGAGAGAGACTAAAAGATATAGCAGAAGGCAATGAAGATGCTCAGCATTAAAAATGGAATAAGAAAGAGGGGATTCTGAAACAAAGGACGCCAAGGGGATAATGGATTAACCAAACCTGCCTAAGAAGTGTCTCAATTCATGAGTAGGTGCCATGCTGGCTGCCAGGTCACTAACTGGATGAACACATAATTGATAAGCTGCAGGTCACGGTCTACTGGAGAGCAATAAGCTCCTTTAAATTACATTAATATTTAATATATATAAAAAGCATTTGTCATTTGCAAAGCACTCTATAGAGTAACTGATGGATTCTATAATGATCCCCAACTCCCAGACTAGGGAATGCAATTCTGGAGAGATAAATACCTGGCCCGCATCCAAATCAAGACTCACTGACAGAGCTATTATTCTAGCTCAAAATTAGGTTTCTAAGTTTCTGGTCCTTCTAGATTATATTGCTTTGTAGCCTTCAGTGGGTAGAAGCATGACCCACACAAGAGCTGACAACACACGGTGACATTTCTGACTCACATCCACCAACTGTCACAGCCCTACCCTGGTCACTGTCCACAATTGAAAGAAGCAGTCAAATGGGCTGAACACAAGAAATGGAAGTGTTAAATATCTGATTGCCATGTGTTGCCTGTCCCTCTACCCTTTCCTTTTAAGAATTAATCTTAAAAGGATTGTGATTGCAGGAGGATGACCTCCATAATTTGTTGGGTGTCTCAGTACACTATACATGAACATATATATCCATGTATGCATGTATATTTTTTCCCCAGTTAAAATGACATAGTGAGTTCACTTGTAGGTGATCCTTAAAATATGACAGCATTTTTCTGAAATGTGACAGATTATTTCTCATTCTGCAGCACTGAGTTTCTGCAAAACAGCCCCAGAACTTTATTACCCAAAATTCCTGCATGAGAACTTCACCTTCAGTCTCCTATATGGTTTCCTGAGACAGACCCTCGGTTTCTCTGCCCTACTAACTCCCTTTGTATACACTTGCTCCTCCTCAGGAGAAAAAGCATAGTGAAGGTCACATCATTTCTCTTGGCTGGACTCAGCATCCTTTTACTGTAGCTAAACTTTATGACATGGAAAGTGAACTCCCTTGGGGATCTACCAAGTGTTCCCATGGGCTGGAGTGGGCTGTGCCAGAGTAGTACCTGCAGTTGCATCCTCAATACTCAAGCATACTGACAACACCACCTAGGAAGGATGCAAAGTTTGAATCACCCATGTAAGGCATGTAAATGCAACATCACTCCAGCTGCACTTGCTCCCTGAAATATCTGTGCATCCTAACAAACTTCTGTTTTGAATGCACCCAATTGTCTGATCAACATCATAGACTTACAGCTCTGTCATTTGAGGATTAACCCTTTTAGGAGGTCTATTCTCATCAATATTACATCCTGCCTAGGAAGCCTGATCATCTTAGAAGCAGATAAAATGATTACTGATGACAGTCAATACAACTTCAAAATATTTCAGCAGTGTAAGTAAAAAAATGCATACAAAACTCATATTGGACATAATTCAAGTGCTATTCATAACCTGAAAAGCAGAGAAATATGACAAGCAATATAACTTGATGGCTTCCATATGCTAGCATTTTGACACTTCAATAGAACTCAAGTTTAGTAAAAGAGTGAAACTTCCTAGAAAAAGGTATTATTCACAGCATTTTTTTGCATAAGTGGAACTCCAACATAACAAATCTCTCTTTCTGTTCCATCTTATACTCCAATAAAGCACAGCCTGCTAGACAAGATTGCCACAGAAATCCTATTTGGTAAAATCTGCTTGATTGTATTCCAAAAAGTGACTCACATTTTACAAGCAAGTAGCAAAAGCTGAAACAAGTTTGACTCCATCAAAGCTAGTATGAGTCATTCTTCCAGCTTAACAGCTCACACGCTATCCTTAAGAGACAAAACTGGGACCACAGGTCAAAAAATGACCATTTAATAGTCACAAAGGATGTGGCTAGACAGATACTGCTAGACTAAAAGAAACAACACAGGACTTGGCCAGTAAAATTAAAAAATACTCGACAGCATGACTGCTAAGTTGCTGTAAGAGTAATAAAATAACAGCTTCTGATTGCAGGTCACTCCTAGCATAGCAAAATTTGGCCCAAACTGTAAAGCCAAGGTTAAAGAACAATCATAAGGTTCTTCCCCACCTGCCACTCTCCAAAGTGCTTAAAATGAGAGCAGCTGAAAGACAGAAGAGCTGAATGCAACCTGATTGTAAAGATGTCGTGATGTGGCTCTCAGTCAGGTACTCCTTTTCTCCACCGTCTCCTTCTCTATGCCCCTGCAGATTCCCCTTTCAAGCCTGCAGACTATTTAATCTCTGCCTTTATACTCTCCTAGGTGTTCTACCCTGGTGGCTTTTCTTCTGTGGTACCCTGAAGTTACCCAAAGGAGACTTGGCTTCGCCAAGCCCTCCAACACTCATCCTTCCCCTGCTGGCTGCTGCTTGGCCAGGGCTCAGTCTTGCCTTGTGTGCATGGCCGGACCTAAAGCAGGTTCAGGTCAAGCTGGTCCAATGTTCAAAAATCACCTTGGTGACAAGCTGAATGGAGAAATGGGTCCACTCTGAGATGCTGAATTATCTCATGCTTACTCTAAGATGCTCAATGTGCTCACTTCCTGCTTCTCTTAGCATGGGTCTGCTCACAGGCACAGACTGGCTCCTACGTGAGAGTGCAGCAAAGACCATCCCTCCCAAAAGTATGCTCCTGTCAGAGTCCCAGCAGGGAAAGCAAGTTTCTTACAGAAAATCACTGGCAACTTCGTGCCAGTAACATTCAGACACACTTATGATTCACAGACATCATGGAGAAGCACACTAAACTCTCCACTCTCACTCCTACTTGCTCCTGACATTTCCCCCACTCACCCAGGGTGTCTCATGCCCCCACTAATCTCACCATAGTCAGAATTACTGTATGGACAATGACTCAATGTAAGTCTCAACTCAGCAGAGCGCCAAGGAAAAGAAAAGCTCAATGGGATCAAAATCCTTCTTTGTTTATGGGCTTTGCTACCCATAATTCATTTTCTGCATTCTGCTGTGGCACAAGCCAACATAAAATTAATCCAGTCTCTGGCTGTCCCAGGGAGTGCTAAGAATCCCTCAAATCTGTGCACCATCTTCAACCTCCAGAGAAAACAATGAAAAATCTCTGTGCTTGGCACTGGCAAAATATCAGGTCATTCATCCTTTTGCTTAAATTAGAAATATAATTTCCACTATTTACTTCCAGGCATGATGAAGAAAAAGAAGACAAAAAGTCACTTGCCTCTACTTCACATGCGTATTCCGATCCATCCAGGAGCGTCACTTTGCATTGCATATTTTTCGGTTTCTTGACAATCTTTAGAGGAGACTTGGAAAGTTTGCTAGACACAGATTTTTGAGAGAGCTTGTCGTCCTCTAGCTGCTGATATTCCAGCTGTTTTGCACTTGCTGCAGCAAACTCCTGTTCTTTCTCTGTGGGCTATAAAGAGAAAGAAAGATACTTTTTGAGTGAGATAAATCAATCATGCTATGCAGTACACTGTGCACCCTTCACCCAAGCATTTAAGTGAGCCTTGTGTAGGGCTTGGACAAGAAAGCCCCTGATGCAGTACAGTACTGAAAAGATTTCCCATATGCCTCACAGCCCTCTCTTCTCACTCCAAAATGTACAGAATACCCATGAAGGAAGGGCATTCAAGAAAATACTTCAGGGCTTCTACTTTTTCCATAGGTACAAAATCCCACTTGGGCTTCCTGAATTTGTTTTTCTGGTGTATTGGTAATACTGAGTAATTGGTAAATGTCGTGATGAAGTGATATTCCTACAGTTTCCTGATATTACTTTGAGATCTTGTTCCTATTAGATCATATGATGCTTCCATGGTGTCATACAGAATAGAAGAATACCATCAGGTTTGCACTGATTTTGCTGTCAGTGAGCCAACAGACCCCGGAATGAGGGCATGGATCCCCCCCTAACAATATGAATTCGCAGGAGGATGCTGATGTGCTTGGGAGAGCAAAAGGCTCCCTTAGCACCCAAGCAAAGGGTTAAACAAACAGAATGGAAGTGAGGGGCCAAATAACTTTTTATGTGCAGCCAGCTGGCTAATGGATGGTAAGTACAGGATGAGCAGCTGAATTTTGCTCTCTACAGATGTCCAGTAAGTCCCTCAAGCTGGCAAGAAGTAGGTGCTGTTTGAAAGACAAATATACTGCAGGGAAAAGGGGCAAGAAGAAACAACCATGTCTCCTTTTGCTTGGGTTTATCTGAGGGTCAGGCCATTTGAAGAGTTACTGTGATGCAGCACAGCCTGTGGTCCTCTCCACAGCACTAGATGAAAGCCAGAACAGCTTTACAGTATTTCGCCCTCCCTAGCAACAGAACTGTGCTGCAGTCATTACCCTTCTCATCAGTTACATCCCTGATAGTCTCAAACAAAACCTCAACAGGAGTGCAGTAATACCTAAGCTAAGGCTTAAATAAAATAAAAACAACATCTTCTGTTATCTCACTACAAGGCTAAAAAAACTAACCCTGCTTTGGCTCTGAATTATTTCAGTGTAAGAAGCAGCAAGCATTGATGGAAATGTATTGTAAATTAATCCTCCAAGTCTGTTTCTATTCATTGTATGTAATAAACCTTCTGGAGAATGGAACAAATCCATCCAAGGTTTTAATCTGCTTTGAGACCAGAACAACCTTGCATCATATAACCAGAAACAACAGTGTACTGCTAAATCACAGGGAACCGTCCCTGACCGATTTCATAGAAACAAGTCATAAGCTTCGCCTGCGCCTTCAGGTGAATAAGGGGAAGAGGAACTTGGAGCCAGCTGTGATACGAACAGCATCAGCTCCCATCAAAGCCCCATCAAACTGCAAAGAAGTGAGGCAGGACCCCATGGTCCTCCTTTCCCTGCAAGAGAGGACATAGCATTTGTCTCCTGGGCTTCCCTGGGTGGGGAGACTAGAAGAAAGCAGGATTAGAAAAATAAAAAAGCAAGAGCTGCTTTCAAAATCCACTGAATCTCCTGAGCTGTGGATGTTCTTCCCCAAGAGCAGCCCAGCACCAGAGGACTTTCTTCTTCTAGCACTCTGACACCAGCTCTGTGTCCTTGCATACCTTGAAGACTAGCAGGAGATAAAGGCACAGTGTATGTCAGTGGATTAACTGTTTGCTGAGCATTTAACAATCAGCAGCTGTGACAAAGAGGGAGAGTCCCCCTGGGCTCATAGCAAGGCTAGAGGCCAGCTACCCTTCCACCACATCCACAGCCAGCTGGCAAGTGGTCCAGCCTAGTGCTGAGAAGTAAACAAGACTGAAGATGCCTTCTGCTAGGGCCCCTGTCCAGAGCTGCACTGCTGCTGAGAGGCAGAGGGGCTCTTTGATGATTTCTATATGTTTTGTTAAAAGAAATCTGCCAGGGAAGGTGCATGTGCACATATGTGGGTGGAGAAGTCATTCTGGGGATGGAAAAAAATGCACTGTCATACCCATACATTTCTGATGTAAGATTTAAGACCCCACTTCAAAAAAAAAAAAAAAACCCAACCAATAAAATACCCCAGATGCACAGAACTAATCTTTTTTGAGAAAACAGAAAAGCTGCTTGAGAGAAAAGCCCACAACAACAAGACACCCATCATCCATTTAAATTTTAGAACCATGTTCAGCCTGCAAGCAATTTCTGTGAATCCCAACGGACCAGTCATTATTTTCCTTCAAAAAGACATTCAGGTGTCTTAAGACCACAGCAGAATTTTGCCTATTTATGAAATATCAAAAAATATTACTGAGGTTATTTTGTTTGTTAAGGTTTCCAGCTACATTAAGAACACGGGAAGGTGTGTAGTTTAAAATCATACAGAAGATATTCTCTCGTTTGTCTGGAGAACAAAACATGCCAAGAATTATTAGAGAAGATTCCTCCAAACTATGCTGACATGTTCAGGCACTGAGGTACTTTCAGACTGTATTAAGCCTCTTCTTCCTAAAGAAACCTGACATCCTGGTATCTAGGAAAAAAATGGCCAGTGAAAAACCCATGTATACAGTGAATTACTTTGAACTCTGCAAGCATAGCTGCATTTTCCCCATAATTCTTCTCCAAGATATTTCTGTGATGTATTTTTGCAGTTTCTGTGCTGTATTTTTGCAATATTTTCAGTGCTGTGGACTAAATTCTAATGCAGCAGAAGTTGCTTCAGGGTTTGCATGTTTTGACCATAGTCTCTCTCATCCATAATACTGTGTTACAGTATGACACAGTATGTTCAAGCCCCTCTGAAGCTGAAGCTCCTCTCAAAGGAAGCCTTTGGAGTAATGATCTCCTATGCTCTGCAACTTCTCATTAGGGTATGAAGTGGTATTACCATGCTTGCACAACACGTTAGTCTCATCTACTTATTGTAGCTGCTCAGAAATATTGCTGCCCAACCTGTGTGATGCCTTGTCTTTTTCAAAGAGATAGCAAGGCAGGCAGAGAATAATGTTGCATCATTACACCTAATAGGAAGGACTCATTTCTCTAATAATCTGTTAATCTCAATATGAAAAGGTTCTTTGTCTTCATTAAAATATTCTTTTTTTAAATGTATATAGGATGACAAAGAAAAGCCACTGTCATGGACTGGTAATGCAAATCTTTCTTCTCAAGGCTCTCTCATACAAGTAATAGCACAAATCAACTTTCTCACTGCAATTACAGACAGCAAGATAGTGAATGAGCTCCTTCAGATTTTGGCTTTTTTTAATGACACAACTGCAAATAGCTCTGTTTCTCAGTGCTGCTTTTAATTAGTTCTTTCCTGTGATACAGACACTTAAGCCACTATGAAATATACTGGGCCTATCACTGCAGTTGGATTTGGCAGTTGATTTACAGCACAGACTTTTGGATTCAATCTGGTAATCTCAATGGGAAAGTGTCACATATCCCTTTCACTAACCCAGTTCTTCTATCAAGCCTTCTACAGACACCAGCTCACTGGTGATCTTCTTTGTGAAAGAAAGGGATCACAGCACATGAGAGCATCTCAAGTCTGTAAACTCACAACTTGAAACACCGTTGGATAGGTCTGATGTCTAAATTGAGGGTTTTTTTGTGTGAGTGGTTATTTTGAGGTTGGGTTTGTTTGGTGGCTTAGTTTTTTTGTTTATTTGTTTTGCTTTTTTATGATGAAAAGAAACTTGAAGTGGAAAGATTACTGAAGATGTCTGGGAAAACAAAATTAATACTTTAGCTTAGGACTGATAGAATTACACTTTAAATTAGTGACCAGTTTGTTCAACACCTTTCTCTTTCGGACAAGCAGCCCTGCCTCTTTTCCCTGAATTAATTACAGGCAGTTTCTGATCTATTTCAGAAATCAAAATTGTCCCAATACATAATAGGTGGATGTCAGAGCAAGAACAGAGAGGTGTCTGGTGGGCATGGAGTGGATCAAGAGTTATCAATGGCAAAAAAAAAGGTTAGCAAAAAATAAGCAATTCTTCCAGCAGTTGAACTTCAATAGCAATAAACAGCAGAAAACCTGCCCTCTATGTCTATCTCGAGACATAAGAAGTCAGACGTAAGTGACCTCTTTTGGTGTTGTCCCAAGCATTTAGGTAATGCACCCCTAATGGAGGGAGGTTACAAAAATTTTTTTTACATGAAATTGCTTAAGATCCCATTTTTTTCCACACCAACACCAAGAGCTGCAGCTCTGTGAAAAAAAGCTTAAAACCCGAGACCACAGGCAGTCCCAGACAGCTTCTACAGGAGCACTTGCACTGACTTTAAGTAACGCCTTACATCTGCTTGCTTCACCAGCACTGTCTCCCCCAACCAGGTAAAATAACAGAAGCCCACTTCAAACAGCCAGGAATTTTTAAAGGATGGAGGAGAGGAGGAGTTGCACTGACTTATTTCACTGCCGAAAGGTGAATGTCAGGGGGGTCATAACCTTATGAAGCTAAGGGAAGTGATTTGCAGGTACCACATTAACTGTGTGTCACTTATCCATGAAGAACAATGCCTGTTAATCCTATTGACTGGAAATTAGTAACAGGAAGAAAGCAGCTTCCACAAATTTAATAAGTGCAACAATGAACCAAATGGAAAAGCATGTGATAGCTCTTCTGAAACCTATTACATGAATAGTTAAAGTAATTATAATGCAGTCATTTCAGAACCACAAGAAACTTAAGGGACCACAGATTCGTCATGGCTCACACATCAGA